GGCATTTCCACTACTACTGCTATTGGCCGCCTCCTTGGCAAATTTATATTTAGGTTCAAGTAAAAGGTAGTGCCTAGGGCGGGGGGGCGGCTAGTAGTAGTAGTAGTAGTAGGGGTAGTAGTAGTAGGAGGAGGAGGAGGAAGATGTTCTTCTTGTTGCCGTAGCAGCAGCAGCAGCAGCAGCAGCAGCAGCAGAAAGAGCAGGAGGCGCATATCACTATTGCTGCTGCTGCTGCTGCTACTACTACTACTACTACTACAACTACAACATACTACTACCACCACCAGCAGCGCAACAACCAACAACACCGACACCAACACCAACACCACCAAGAACAACACTTCCTCCTCCTCCTCCTCCTCCCACGGACCGTCACGAACGCGATATCCGCCTTCACCACCATGACCACCATCGCCGCCACTGCCACCGCCACCGCCACCGCCAACACCACTGCCGCCGCTACCACCACCACCACTACCACTACTACCACCACTCCCCCAACAAAGAAACTGCACATGACGATCACATTCCAACTGACATGCGGATGACTGCTTGCGAATAATATATGCGTTTCCAAACAACAGCAGGTACACTCACCCTGTCAAAGTATCATGTTGTGCAAAGCAATCAACGTCTGGACAACCCAAGGATCTGCCCTCTGAACAGCACAACCCCGCCACTCCTACCCCCCAAACCCCAAAATCCCATCTTCTGGCATCCAAAGAAGCTCCATCAGCTCGAAACTGCCAGAGCCGTCCCGGTCCAGCTGCTCTATGACTCGGCCGATCTGATCCGAGGGAAGAGGAAAAGCTTCTTGTCCATAGTAATAGTAATAACAACAATAAGAATACTAGTGATAACAACGATATTAGTACTACTCGCAATAATAATAGTAGTACTGATACTAATAATAGTAATACTAGTAATATTAAATGGTAACTCATCAGTTTCAGCTTGTCTTCAGTTGGCTTGACACGGGCTCTCTAAGATACTGGTACGTCTCATTGGGGTTACCTTGTGCGCTGGCACCTACAGTAGAGCGACCTTCAGCCATCAACGATCACATCAGGATACAAAACAAATCCCTGTCCCATCAGAAGCCTTCATACATGAACCTTGCTTTGGGCTTGGCACCATGCATTGCCTATCTCCCGACATCTTGCTCACAGACTCCCCTGTTGACGCTTGAGGGCCGTGACGGACTACTTGCAATTCCTTCTGAAGTGGGACTGGGCTTAGCTTGGCTTTATACCCTATTATAATATAGTAGTTTCCATTTTCTTTTCCATTATCCCCATGTAACCCCCATATAACCCCAATGTAACCATTGTATTGGGCCTCTTCACTTCCACACTCTTGGAAACTGACTTCTCACACTACAGGGTCCGGCGGACCGTTCGGTCGGGTAAGGCAAGTAGAGTGTCAATGTGCATGAGCCTATGCAAGAAGCAGAGTAGCACGTAGATTTGAACCAAACACCATTTGGGCAAAGCTCGCGAGCACAGAAGAAGCTAGTAAGAGTTCAGAATGGCAGATTTGAACCAGCGAGCTGTCTGTTTCTGCACATTTTGGGGAATGGTGTTTGAAGGCGCGGTTGAGATTGAACTCACCATCTTGTAAGCTTTGTGTTTTTTTAAATGATGTGTTTGATAACTCATTTGAATCTTTCCTTGTTGACATTTGATCTGAGCTGCAGTCTAGGCTTAAGGCGGTCTGAGGCGTAGTCTGAAACCACAAGAGTTTAGGTCTTTCCATTTAAAGCTGTTAGGTCATTTATTCAATTCTTATTCAGTGGAACTCGATCCTTTCATTGCTCCTTGTTCCAGCGGAGGCGCCCTGACACATCAAGAGCTCGCATGACTTGTTTTTGTAAAGAGTGCAGACTGCGCGGAAGAAAACAGCAAAACCATGACAATGCGCAGCTACATAAGAAGAACAACGGCTGTGCAGTTTGAGCCTGCTGCTTTAGTCTCATCGTTTTCTTGCATCCCGAAGATCTCGTCCATGATTTTACCCTGCCTCCTGCTGTTCAGTCTTCGTCCGAGGCAGCAATCCGAATTCCTGCGAAGCGCTTCTTCTTGGGAGTGACTTGGACTGAGCTTGTTTGTGGGTTTGACTGGCTTGTCAATGAAGACTTGGGGTTTTGGACTGCCAAATGTCCATTCATCTTTTCGTACCGGGGCCCTGGGCTACAGTATATCTGATCTAACCGCGGTGTGGGCGGCGGAGGGTGCGGGTCCGCGTTGGGCCTCCTAATGCCTGCTGGCAAGGTCACCTGTAAACGGTGGCCTACCCGCTGGCTGCTGGCTGGGGGCAGTTTGGCCGGCGGAGGGCGCGCAGTTATTACAACATCTTGTATTATACTATAGTAGACTATGGTATATCATAATGCATTTATTGTATATTGTAATAGTCACGTTTGGCTAAGGTCAGGGTAAATGCGACCTGGGAAACTTCGCGAGATATCCTTAGAGGCTCATCTCTCTGGCCTCGAGAATGCCGTAGATCTCTTGCATGCTCAGCTCTCCACCTTTGGAAACCGCGGGCTCTCAGTCAAACGTGACTTGAGCTATAATCTAAACTCCTAGTATCCCCCGTAATAAGCCCTATAATACTTTTGATGGATGAAATCCTACACCACCTTAAGTCCCTAAAGTCCTAGGAATTACAGTAGTTTAGGGGCTGTAAGTGGTGCAAGATTTCCTCGGACCTCTTCTCCAAGGCACGAGTCCAAAGTATGGGGTTTAGGGGTAAACTCCTAGTATCCCCCCATAAAAAGGTTACACGGGGATTATATGGGGGTATATCGGGGATTATATAAGGGCAATATAAGGATAATGGAAAAGAAAACGGAAACCACTATTTGGGCTAAAGCCTAAACTCCTAGTATGCCCCGTAATAAGCCTCATAATGGCCCCCTTATATAATCCACTATACAACCCCCTTTCATGAGTTTATAGCTCACTTATGGGTGCTTGCTCCCTAAACCCTAAACCCGTGAGTTCTTGAGGCAGCGGCTTCCGTCTCGATCATAGTGCCGAAAGCTGGCTGTGAGGTCCTTGGGATAGCAGCAGCCCACCAGCAAGACGTCTAGACACTGGTGAATTAGCCACATTGACAATCTTGTACTCTAAGCCCCAAACCCTAAACCCCAAACCCTAAATCCTGACCCGAAACCCTAAATCCTAGACCCTAAACCCCAAATCCTAACCCCAAACCCTAAAACC